GACTCACAAAAATGAAACTTAACTATTATTATATAAATAAACAAAACCGAGTCAGGTTACTAGGTTACGGAAATCTTATACAGGGTGAGTCAACGATTGGTTAAAGTAGATTTACTCAGAATTGCTAAAGTTTATCAAAAAACTATTTCTACAGGGTGATAAGTACGCTAACATGGCACATTTTAAAAATATTTTAAAATATACAGGGTGCTCCAAAAATTTGTGACAGACCAAACTTACATTTTTTTAAATGGAACACCCTGTATTTTACAACATTTTTAGATTCTACGTTTAATTTGAAACATTTTGATATAAAGTTTCCTATATCTAAATTTAATAGTTTCTGAAATAATTGGAACTAAATAAAAAATATTGCATTTTTGTACCTGTATTTAACAGTAGCTATCCTCGTTATTTTTAAGAATTAAAACAAGATTTTTGGTACCGTGTTACTGTAAAGGTGGCTTGAGAACGTCATGGATTCAAATTTTGATTAGCACCTACAGGGTGTTCGTAAAATAATGACAGATTTGAAGAAGTTTAAACTAAAAAATCTTAATTTTTTTAAATGGAACACCCTGTATATTTTTCAATATTCCTTTAGATCTTTTAAAAACTAACAACTTTTGTTAACCATGTCCTATACCTATACTCAATACTTCTGGAGATATTCGCTTAACAGTGTAGTGGAGCATTTTTCGTGATTTTCTAATTTGGTTCGTAGGCCTGGCAAAATAGATAGTAATAAATCATAATCATATTACGTCAAATATAATAAATACTGTTTTCTTTATTTATCTTTACATTAAATTATTTAATAATTTAATTATAAAAAGAAAAATTTCATCCTTTAAATAAAATAATGAAAATAAGTAACAAATACTCATAAATTGTTATATTAGAATAACTTATAATTATTACAATACACAACAATTAACACTAAAAGAGTATAGTACTTAATATTAAGCAATTACACCGAACTAACAAATATAATAATTATTAAACAAAATCTTCCAAGGGATCATCTAATTAAATTTTCAAATAAATGACCATCCTGCTGAACACATAAATTTAATCTTTCTTTCAAGGGTCGTCTTACTCTTGATAACACAATGGAGCGCCCGCTCATTATCATCATGATGTCAGAATATATTTAAATGACGATTATCCAGAACGATGGTTAGGACATGGGGGTTTCATTCACTGGCCTGCAAGGTCTTGCGAATTAACCCCTCTAGACTTTTTCCTGTGGGGTTATATTAAGGGGCAGGTATATGCCAATCCACCAACAACTCTTGATGATATGAAAAATAGAATAAGAGAATCATGTAGAAGTATAACTCAAGAAATGTTATCAAGAGTAAGACGATCCTTGAAAGAAAGATTAAATTTATGTGTTCAGCAGGATGGTCATTTATTTGAAAATTTAATTAGATGATCCCTTGGAAGATTTTGTTTAATAATTATTATATTTGTTAGTTCGGTGTAATTGCTTAATATTAAGTACTATACTCTTCTAGTGTTAATTGTTGTGTATTGTAATAATTATAAGTTATTCTAATATAACAGTTTATGAGTATTTGTTACTTATTTTCATTATTTTATTTAAAGGATGAAATTTTTCTTTTTATAATTAAATTATTAAATAATTTAATGTAAAGATAAATAAAGAAAACAGTATTTATTATATTTGACGTAATATGATTATGATTTATTACTATCTATTTTGCCAGGCCTACGAACCAAATTAGAAAATCACGAAAAATGCTCCACTACACTGTTAAGCGAATATCTCCAGAAGTATTGAGTATAGGTATAGGACATGGTTAACAAAAGTTGTTAGTTTTTAAAAGATCTAAAGGAATATTGAAAAATATACAGGGTGTTCCATTTAAAAAAATTAAGATTTTTTAGTTTAAACTTCTTCAAATCTGTCATTATTTTACGAACACCCTGTAGGCGCTAATCAAAATTTGAATCCATGACGTTCTCAA